TCTGGGGTCAAGTCTTGCCCAACCCACCCTCTCCAAGACTCCCTCCCTCACGTGCCAGGCTGTGGGTCTTCAAGAAGCTGATCTCCTGGAAGCTTCTCTCATGGGTCAGATGAAATTTCACTCCAAATCTTTCACTTTGCAATGAAAGGCTCATCATGAAGCTTAACGTTAAAACCACGTGTTTGTCAGTAATGTCAGACTTTCAAAAGCTAAGGGTTCACTTTCTGATGAAATGGAAAGCCCTGGAAAGCATCAGGCCCAGGACCCTGCACCGACAGTCAAAGGGCCCGGCTAAGGCTCCCCTGAGCTTTGTGTCCTCATCCCAGAATGAAAATGACCTGGCCCCAAATATGTGCCCAGGGTGCAGGCCGTTGGTCCAGGCACCCCTGGCTCCCTGTAGTGACAGGTCCAGCTCCCAAGCCGCTCCGTGCTGCCCCAGGGCACCTTCCCCCTTTCCACCCACAGTGACCCCATGTCTTCCTTTCCCCGTCAGGAGGCTGGTCAGGACTGGTCAGGCTCTGGTCCACCTAGGCCTGAAGATGGAGCTCCCCTGCTGCCCGTTCCTCACCAACCCCTGGCCTGGAGCCCTCCACTCCCAGGTGGCACCCACAGCCCTGAGGCCCTGGGCCACCCACCCTGGACAGAGGAAATGAACGAGGTCAGGTGGTGTGGACCCTCAGGCGCCCAGGAATGAGGCCGGAGCTGGCCTGGAGGCTGGGGCTGGGCTGCGTGTGCTCAGGACCTCCTGAGTGTGTCAGGAGGGGCAGCACTGGTCACCCGTGGGCTGGTCACTCCCCAGCAGCCAGGACTGCAGTCATCAGACGAGACGGCACTCAGTGCAGGGGCATGTGCCCACCCTTGACAGGTCAGCGCCTCAGCTCTGTCCACTCGGCCCCAGCAGTCCTCCTGTCTCAACCCCCAGCATAAAGGCTTGACCTGGTCCTGTGGACCTCACAGGAGGGCATCCCCCAAGGCCCCTGGCCAGGCTCCTCTTTTGATGGACACAGGGTTGTCTTGGGACTGGTTCTCCTGCCTGCCTCTGAAGCATCTCTGGGCCTCTCAGGCCCACACTAAGGAGACCAAACCACACCCTGTCACTGCACTACCCGCACCCCCCCACGCCTCTGACTCCCACTCCACCTCCTGGCCCCGCCCCCCTTTTCCTGGCTCACCCGGAGCCCCTCAGCCCTGCTCATAGATGGCTTTTAGGGAACCGGCACGTAAAGTGCTGGGTGGGCACCGTGCCCACCCCTGTGGAGACGCGGACTCACCCGCTGCCTCCGTTCACGTTTGTGTCCAACCATCCCCACATGGTGGCACTCCAGATGCTCTTCAGCTTGTGCCCCGAGCCCAGCACCCTTCCCAGCTCCCACTGCGTCTTTTCCACCCCAACCCTCTCTCCCATCTGGTTCCTGAGCTCAGCCTCGGTCGCTCGGGGCTGAAAATGACCTCTTCCCACGTTATCTCAGCAACGCGGCAGCATCCGGGCCTCTCCCAGGCAACCCCGTGTGGGTGACCCCCCCATATAGGCACCGAGGAATGACAGCTAAGCAGAACCCTGGCACAGTTAGGGCTTGAGGAATATCTCACTTTACGGTGTTACTACTCAGCTATTTCCTTCTATATATCCTTTACATAATCATATATTAGTTCATAAAATTAGGACTTGAAGAATCCCTTTATATAATCATTAATAGTTGATAGTATGAGTGCCTAAAGAATATTTCCCTACATATATACCTGTAATTATATCTCAGTTCATACTCGGAGGAATGCCTAGAGTGGACACAGTACAGAGCATGAATTAAGGAATAAGCAGCTTATAATCGGAGAAATGCCTGGAGCAGACACAGTGCAGAGCATGAATTAAGGGAAAACAGTTACACCAGGACAAGAATCCATGGCCCAGGCGGCAGCGCTCAGTATCGTGAAGATACCCGCTGTATGGCAGGCTTGGGGCAAGGGCCACTCCTCCTGATAAAGGAGTTGTAGGACCTTGCTCCTGTTCTTGTGGAAGGTGCCCTCAGAACGGCAATCAACCTTGGTGACTGTGAACTTTATCAGCTCTTGCTGCTGTGCTGCTTGGAAAGCATCTTCCCATAGAACCCATTGGAAGCTGCCAGAAGGTGGCGGTAACCTTGACAGCTCTGTCACTGCTGTGTGACTTAAGGCATCCTCCTATAAATCTTCTTAGAAGTAGTTTCCCATAGATAGAAGTATCGCACACTGCACCCTCTTCACTGTGCACAGCCCACCTTCAAGCCTCAGTGACCTAATGGGGGTGGACCCCTTACTGCACCTGGCCCTTGCCTTCGTGGGAACGGGCCCCTTGCTGCGCGCTGTCCACCTCCTGGCCTAGGCGACCTAATGGGGGTGGACCCTATGTTTTATTGCTCACGACCCTATCACTATCCTCAAAGATGATTTCACTCACTGCCCTGCCCCCTAACCTATACACAATAAATACAATTCTGGACATTCGGGGCTCGCCACCCTCGCCATCCTGGCCTCGCCAGCCTTGCCTGACTCCGCTCATAGTGGCGTGGCCCCCCGAGCCCAGATGCATTTTCTTTGTACTTCTGTGTCCTGTCTCTTTATTTCTCGGATCCTGCGCCTCAGCACAGCATAAGGCTCACCCCACGACCCTGTGGGGCACTCAGCCCTACATCTGGCTCCCAACGTGCCCTACATGATACCAGTTGGCCATCAGGTGTACAGGGCCTGGGACAGGCTCTGGGTAATGGAGGCAGCAAGGCAACGGAGGGAGGTGGGCAGGACCTCAGGAAGGGACAGACGTGGGAAGACGCCCCCATGAGCCTGCCCCAGGGGCCAAATCCTCCCCCCGGCACATGGGGTAGGGGAGGTCCTACTGGGCTGTGCCGGAGATGGCAGCAGAGCTTCTGGGTTCCCAGGTCACCATCAGGTGTGACCCCAGAGCCAGCGGGCCCCGTCCTGCCCCTGCTCCTCCTGAGCACAGTGAGCCAGCCCTGCACCTGCTCTTCAGTGGCTTCTCGCCTGTGCCCAGCCAGCCAGCAGGGCTCCTCGGCTCAGGGGAGGGGTCCTTCCCTTGGAGAGAGCTTGGTGAGAGTAGAGTCTGTCCCCGTCCTCAGAACCTCAGGCTAGCACCCGGCCACCAGGGAGGCTGGGAAGTAGGGAAGGTGCCCAAGGCAGACGTCACAGGCCCAGGGCAGCAGCTGGGCCCCGGAAGGTCCAGACGGAGCGCGAGGACCCCCTGAGGCCCAGCCGAATGGCAGACTTGAGGTTGAGTGTGGCTGCTGTGGACTGGCTCCTGCGCCCAGAAGGAGGAAGGATGGTGGCCGGAGCCTCTGCACCCAGAAGGAGGAGGGATGGCGGCCGGAGCCTCCGCCCTGCGCTGACCCTGCCCAGCCCTAGCACCTTCCGGAACCTGCTTGTGGAGCTAAGCCAGTGCGATGTGGGCAGGATGCCGGATGCTGTATCGGCCCCCGGCCCCTCGACTCAGGCACGGCCAGCTCAGCGCTGGAGAGTGTGTGGGAGCCAGACTGAGTCAGCCACGGGCGGCAGCTGCTCTGTCTTCCAAGACGTGGCGGGGGCCAAGTTCCCCCAGGCCCACCGGAGTCCCAGTGCCTGTGGCCAGGCGCAGGGAATGGGACCTCATCCTCTAGCCTGGCCATTACCAAGGCTGACTGGAGAGAGCTGCCCCTCCCCGGCCTGCTGATGGAAGCCTCCAGAAACGCCCTGCGTATCAGGCCCAGCCCCACCAGCCAGGGTTTTGGAGCCTCCCCGACAGGCTGGGTGCGTTTCCCGCAAACCTCACCAGCCCCTCAGCCAGGACCTTTGGCCGAGACCTGAATTCACAGTGAAGTCGGGCGGGGGGGGCCTAGGGGGCGGGGAGCGTGCACTGGACTGAGCGTTTGAGCGTTTTCCTTTATTACCTGACTCCGTCCTCAGAGCGCCTGCACAGACCGAGTCATCCCTGCCCCCTCTCCATCTTTGGAGAGTAAAGAGAAGCTCCTCGTGTTGAACTTGGGACTGCCCACATCCCATGGTGCAGGGGCGTCACTCCTAGAGCTACCCCTGCAGCGCCAGCCCTGAGTAGCCCCCAGTGTCCACCTAAGAAAGTGGAGGCCAAGCCAGTGGTCACCCTGAGACCAGCTGTAGTCCCCACACCAGACCTCAGACTCCCTGAAAGCCGGGACGTGCAGGGACCAGGCAGCCGCTCCTTAGCCCCAGGCAGCCCCAAGCAGGAGGAAGGTGGGGAGGTGGGGTGGTTACAGAGGCAGGTGCTACTTCGAGGGCTGGCAGGCATCTGAGCGGCTGCAGCAGTGGGAGAGGGAGGGGGAAGGGACCAGAACACAGGGTCTTTGTGGCCTGGAGGTCTGCACTCAATCCAGATGCAAAGGAGGACCCAGGATGGCCGAGCAGGCTGTGTGCTCCACGGCATGCCCACGCTGGCCTCTGGACATGTGAGGGCAGGAGGATGGGGCGGGAGAGAGGCTCATGGCCTGGCCCGGAGGAGCTCCAGGGTGAAGAGAGGGGGCAGGAGGGAGACGTTTGCAGGAAGCAGGAACACGGGGCAGACACCTCAAGAGGGCTTGGTGCCCGGCTGTGCCGAGTGCCCTCCCAGGGCTGGTCTGCGGCACCCCTCCGCCATCCCCACACCCGGGCAGGGCCCACCGCGAGCAACGGTGAAGGGGATGCAAAGCCTCCTGCAATTGTGGCTCCAGCAGCTGGTGGGCAAACACGCTGGGACTGGGGCCTGGGGAGGAGGGATTGGGGGCCCTGGGGAGGAGGGGCTGCGACCTGGGGAGGAGGGGCTGGGGGCCCTGGGGAGGAGGGGCTGGGGCCCTGGGGAGGAGGGGCTGGGGCCCTGGGGAGGAGGGGCTGCGACCTGGGGAGGAGGGGCTGCAGCCTGGGGAGGAGGGGCTGGGGGACCTGGGGAGGAGGAGCTGGGGGACCTGGGGAGGAGGGGCTCCGGTCTGGGGAGGAGGGGCTGCAGCTGAGGGAGCCCACATCCTCCTCTGCCCTCCCCTCAGCCTCCAGCCATAGGCCTCATCCCAGACTCTGGTTAAACCGCCCTGACAGCCACCCCACGCCCGGCCCAAACCACATCTTTGCATCACTTTAGACACCAGGCGACAGGGAGGCGGCGGGGAGGCGGCATCATTCCTGGGGTAGGATTGCGGAACTCTTAGGCAGGTGGGACGGTGGGGTGGGCCCCAGCAGCACAGAGGAGGGAGCTGGCTTCAGGCGCTCCCGCTTCCCCCGAGTCATGGCTCTGGAGACCGCACTGCTCCTGCTGCTGGCCCTCGGCCTGGACCTGGCAGGTGCCCAGAAGGCTCTGGAAGAAGTGCCAGTACAGTGGGGCTTTGATGCTCACAAGGTAAGTGTCATGGGTCCAGCCCCCAGGCTTAGGCCTGGAACAAGAGCTTGGGTGGACACGGGTGTCACATTGAGGAGGTGCAGGGGGTGGGGGGTTAGGTCCCTGCCTGACCCTGCAGGCACTCTGGAGGGTGAGCTGCACCTGGGCCTGGGGCCACCCCAGGCGGGAGACGGCTCTGTCGTCCTGCACAGCCAGCGCCATTGGCCACTGACGAACCTCGGGCCCATCGCTCTCTCCGGGCTGTGGAAGCCGGGGCTCAACAGCAGTTTCGGGAGAAGGCTGCAGGGTGGAGGCTGGAGGAACAGAGTGCTGTTGCTGGGCACAGGCAGGCAGTGGGGTCCTGGGGAACAGGAGAGGGGCTCACAAGGAAGCCAGCCCCGGGCGCAGGGAGGGTCCCAGCTCCTCCTCCCCATGCAGCCCCTGGGGTCCTGGTCCCGCTGGGGGGAGTTCAGGGATAGAGGGACACCTGGCACCGCACCAGACCCTCTCCTCCCCACTCCCTGACCAGGGGAACAGAGCTTGGGCCAGGCAGGGGTGGGGGTGCAGGGCTGACGGAAGTGGGAAGGGGATTAGGCAGAGACCAGAGAGAGGCGGACTGGAGGTGACTCTTCCCAGGAGGAAGCACAGCTCAGCCTCCACGTGGACCCACGGATGGGCATTTGCCAATACAGACTGGGAAGGGGAAACATTTGCCAGCACAGCCCCCAGAAGGGGCAGGGCTACCCGCTGACCAATGCTTAGTGCCAAAGCTGGGGCCTGCCGGTGCCACACAGCCAGGAACTCACTCACCTTCCCTGCCCCAGCCCATGCCCCTGCAGGTGGAGGGGGTGCCGCACAGCCGGGCACTAGCTGGCCTCTCTCCCACCCAGCCCTCACCCCTGCAGGTGGAAGGGGTGCCACACAGCCAGGCACTCGCTGACCTTCCCTGCCCCAGCCAATGTCCCTGTAGGTGGAGGGGGTGCCACACAGCCAGGCACTAGCTGGCCTCAGAGCCCAGAGGGGGCCTCCTGGTGCCACAGAGCCAGGCGCTAGCTGGCCTCAGAGCCCAGAGGGGGCCTCCTGGTGCCACACAGCCGGGCGCTAGCTGGCCTCAGAGCCCAGAGGGGGCCTCCTGGTGCCACAGAGCCGGGCACTAGCTGGCCTCCCGCCCCCAGCCCACACCCCTGAAGGTGGAAGGGGTGCCACACAGCTGAGCACTAGCTGGCCTCTCCCACTCCGGCCCTCACCCCTGCAGGTGGAGGGGCGCTGGTTCACCCTGCAGCTGGCAGCCAGCCGCGCAGAACTGGTCTCCCCAGCCGACCCCCTGAGGCTCGCCCTGCACTCCATCCGGACCAGTGACCGTGGGGACGTGGACTTCGTGCTGTTCTGGAAGTAAGCATGGCTTCTGCCGCCCCCTCAGGCACTTATTCTCAGACCCAAGGAACAGTAACAGTGTTCAGAGCCAGAGGGACACATCACACCAAGCTGAGGCCCAAGACCCTGTTCTGAGAGGGTGAGCTTGGAAGCTGCCAGAGGCAGGTGCAGGAAACACACAACCCGGCCGCGGAGGCCACGTCCAGTCCCAGCAGACGTGTCCACTGGGCCACGGGCCTATGTTCCAGCTGTGAAGGAAGCCGGAGGCTGGCATTTTCAATGTGATCTCCGGTGTTTGAAAGCTGCCTACTAATTCCCAATAACCCTCTCCCAAGGACCACAGCCACCCCTGCCCACGCCCCTTTCACCCCCATGCAAGCCGGGAATCCTGAGGACAGCTGCCCTGTCAGCACAAGAAAACCCACCCTGGGACAAGCTGCACTGAGCCAGTGACGCCCACAACAAGCCTGTGCGATTCCACCTGCACCCACAGCCCTGAAGGTGGTTACAGCCACAACCTAACCGCCTTCAGGGTCTGTCATGCTGGGTCCAGACACACCTCGTGGCAGCCTGCAGAGTCCCAGGGGTTACTGGGCACCCACCCCAAATGAGAAACTGAACCCCCTGGAGCCAGGGGCGTGGGGGTGAGGGGGCTCTGTCTATGCACAGAGCAGAGCAAGTGGGGACGGGCAGGACAGTCAGGGTCCCAGCCCCCAAGGCCTGCAGCTCAGAGCAAAGGCCAGACTGGGACCAGTCCATTCTGGTAAGTTTGACGTCATCCCAGATATGGGGAGGCTCCTGCTTCCTCACTCCTGCCCCATCCCAGCACCACGGGTGTCGCCTCCTCCTGGCCGCACAACCCTGGTGCCTGTGCCAGTACAAGGCTGCCCCTGAGCCTGGGGAGCTGATGCCCTGGGGAGGACAGCAGGGCTCTCAGCTGGTGGCAGCCCCAGTGTCCCCTGGTGGAAAGCCCTGAGAGGTTACCCCGTCCTGGGACAGGTCAACAGGACGCAGCTGGGGGCTGACCAGGCCCTGGTTCCCTTCTCTCCTCCCAGGGGAGAAGGGGTGTGTCAAGAAAAAAGCATCACTGTCCATCCCACCCAGCTGCAAGGCCAGTACCAAGGCTCCTGTGAGTGCCCCTGTCCAGGATCCGGGCTGGGCTCTGAGTGGGGAGGGGCGAGCAAGGGACGCTGGGACGCCTGGTCCTGGCCACGACACTCAGGAGTGGCTGCTGGCTTTGGGGGACGGCCAGGTGCTGGAAGAAGGCCGTGCGTCCTCTTGGTGGCACTGCACTGTCCACAGGGCATGGGGGGTCCGGGACCCGGGGGAAGGAGGAGAGGGGCATCACACATCACCCGGCCCCGGGTCTCCGCAGTTGAGGGGAGCAGCATGCACGTCCGCTTCGTCAGCACCGACTACAGCAACCTCATCCTTTACGTGCGCTTTGAGGATGACGAGGTCACCAGCCTGTGGGTGCTGCTGGGTAGGTGGTTGGCTCTCCCTGGCGCTGGCCAGTGCGGTGCTCGGGTCCCCCGACAGGAGGGAGAGGCTGCCAGACACTCTCAAGTCTTCGTGGAGACTTGCTGTCCTGTCTGGGAGGGGTCTTCCATGAAGGGTGTTCCGAGGGCGCAGGCAGCCTTGGGCGGAGCTGAGCACTTCCTCCGACACGCGCCCCTCCCTCGAGGAGGGCATCCCCATGCAGGACGTGCACGGCGCGTCTGCTCCGAGCCAGGCACTGCTCTGGGAGCTTGAATTGTCAGTGGGTGAAACTGAGAACAAGCCTTCCTTGTCCTCCTCCTCCTCAAGCAATGTCTCGGGGTGCTGTGCGGCTCCTGAAAGTCAAAGCGCCGTGGGAGAAGGGCTGGGAGGGCACAGGGGACGGAGTGGGGGACATCGAGGGCGGCAGTGTCCTGATGACGAGGAACTGGAGGCATTTCGGGGCAGACTATCAGCTGGAGCCCGAGCCCAGGATGGGGTGGGGGAGCGGGCAGCAGCAGCTGAGAGGCCCCAGGGCCGAGAAGGTCAGGGAGGTGGGAGGGGCAGCACCAGGCCAGAGCTCAGGACCCTCTGGGGGTCTCCACTGAGGTGGGCCAGGCCTGACTCCCTCCTTCCAGGGGCGCTTTGCCTGCTGTGCTCAGAACAGACGGTGTGTTTATAGGAGGCAAGATTGGGGCCGCTGCAGTCAGAGCTGGCCGGGCCTGGGAGACCGCAGGGGAGGTGTCCAGCGAGCCCCCTGCCAGTGTCACGGTGACTCAGTGGTGGGGTGGCCGATGCCCAGGGCCTCTGCCTCCCTGTTCTCCGCAGAGGAGGAGGGCAGGAAAGACAGGGGCTCCAGGCCTCAGCCGCTCACTGTCAGCCCGTCTGATTCCAGCGAGAAGAGTGCTGGAGGACCCCACATGGCTGGGGAGATACCTGGAGTTCGTGGAGAAATTCCAGCTGCAGAGAGCCCCGGCCTTCAACATAGACGGTGAGCGCTGCCCCAGCCACGTCCTGCAGCAGGACGGGAGGAGGGCGCCTGGGTCTGGAGCCTCATCTACCCAGCCGGCACCATGGAGGGTGAAGCCAATCCCCACGCCCCTAATGGCCAGGCCTGTGCCGGCTGCTGAGGAGCTACTGGAGCTCACCAGCCCCGTGTGACACAATGACATGGGCCCAGGGTCGTCTCCACTCTACAGATGTGGCTCAGAGACGTTCAGTAGCAAGGCCAAGTTGCACAGCCAGGAGAAGCTGGAAGGCATCCAGATCTCCTGCCTCCTGAACCAAGCACCCAGCCAGCCTCTCCCCTCTGCGGCCTCCTAGTGCACCGTTCAGTCAATCAACAAACATATGGGCCGGGCCTGTTCTGGGAGTCTGGGATTCACTTAGAACAAGACACAGTCATCAACCAGCTAGCATTGTAATTACCTGATTTGTTAGAGACAAGGGCTAGGTGCGTGGGAGTGGGGACTTGGGCAGGGTTTGGGGAGGTGGCCAGGCTGTGTGAGCACGGCAGCCAGGATGGGCGTCCTTGAGATGAGATGGAGGAGGAAGGCTGCCTGGAAGAGGGGTCATGCAGCTGGAATAGGAGCCGGGCAGAGGAGGGCAGAGATGAGCTCCCAGGCAATTGGGGCAGTGGTGTGGGGCCTTGTGGTCCCCCGAGGGGACTGGATTTCCACAGAGCACAGGGCCCTGGCAGGACAGACAACATGGGGAAAGAGAAGGCCAGGTGATGCCAGTCAGGGACAGCTGTTTTGTGCTATGTGATTGATTGATTTCAAAATGAATGAGTGAAGTCCTCAGAATCACCACCTTTTTCTCTTCTGCTCCACAGGCCCCTGTGCCCCACCCAGAGCCTAGGTCAGGTGGCCCTGGAGTCTTCCTGCCTGGGCCCCTTATCCCTCTGTTACCCTCAGCCTGCCCTCCACCCCTCCTTCACCTTGGCTTGTGGCCTGGACTGCCCAGGTGCCCCCAGGAAGCCCTTTTGCACCTCAGGGACCCAAGGAAGCTCCCCAGCCTGGAGCCCAACCCTGCCTCTCCCCTGCTGGGAAGTCCTCTTCCCTCTGTGGGTCTCCAGGTCCTACCAACCACCTGCCAACCAACAGCCAAGGGCCAGCAGCGTGCCCCAGCCTGGCCTGTGGGCTTGGAGCGCACTAAGGGTGGCGAGGAGGGGGCGCATGGCCTCTGAACTCCTGCCCACAGAGCCCAGATGCCTCCAAAACATCCACAATGAGTGGAGCCCTGGGGTCCCAGGCACCTCCGGTGCACCCCCCAAGGACTGCTGGGGTCACCCTCAAGTGTCCTTCAGAAACATGACCCCACAGAGCCTGTTCTCAGACTCCAGCTCCCCTCCACTGTGACCCACCCCACCTGCGTCTGCTGGGGGCCCTCTAGCAAGGTGGCCTCCCTGCTCCGTGAGCAAATGCCTGTGTCTCCACCGAGGTCCGAGAGCCCTGAGTGAGCCCAGCTCCAGACCCTACTCCCCATAGGAGCCCGACAGGCAAACACAGACAGCTGTACCTGTGCGGCAGGTGAGACCGGCCCACGCCCGCTCCTCGGAGCCCAGGATTCCAAAGGGCGGCACCTGCTTCTGCTCCCGGAGAGCCAGGGCCGCCCATGGGCAGGGCAGGCTCTGAGGAAATTGGGTCCAGGACACGATACTTGTCGTCTGAAACTCCCAAGACAGGTATGGCCAGCAGCCGTCCCAGAAAACACCTCCAGCAAGGCCTTCTCCCCCTTCCTTCTCCCCACAATGGAATGAAACCGAGAGCTGGTGCCGGAGCTGATGGCGAAGCCCCGAGGTCCTCCTGCACACCAGCAAGCCCGGCTGGAAAAACGGAAGGAAAAATGACCATCGCAAAGCACACGGTGCACGTCTAACAGGGGGCTTACGGAATCTGTAAGATCATAAAAAATCACCTTTTCTGGGGCATTAAAGTGACCGGAATAAATATCGACGTGAGAGCTCTGGGTATCTCTCCGCATTGTAGAGTGAATAACCTCAAGCTCACCTGTGCACTTCAGCAATTCAGTTAATCTTCCAGTGGGATTGTCCCCCAAACTGCAGACCTGAATCAACAATTCACATGAAGGAACAGAAGTTTGGGAACAGTTTTAAAGGCAGAGTCGTGCAGATGGATGTCCCACCCCCCACCCCAATGTAGAATGACAGCGGTGAGAAGCACGTGGCATATTAGCTCAAGGCAGAAGAACAGCCATGAGACTGGTGTCAAGAAACGAACATGGTTATGTATGACAGCTTCATAGACGGTACAAAGGGCCTGTCCTAAAAAGCATTATTTATTCAGTAAATAGCGTTGAGGGAAATGGGCAAGACAGATGGGGGGAAATCAGAGTAGATCTCTCACCCTACACATTGTCTTAAAATTAGTCCCTGATCAACTCTGAATAAAAGGAAGCCTGGAAACTTCTTTTTTTTTTTTTTAAGCCAGGGTTTCACCATGTTGGTCAGGCTGTTCTTGAACTCCCGAACTCAGGTGATCCTCCCGCCTTGGCCTCCAAAGTGCTTGGATTACAGGCGTGAGCCGCCACGCCCAGCCAAGCCTGGAAACTTCTATACTTTCTATGACTCGGGGATGGCTTACCTACGCAGCCGGTGTAAGCACCAGGGGAAGGGGTGGCAGCCATGAGAGCTTTAAACTCGGGCACATCAAAGACATCAACACAATTAACATGGAAACAGATCAAAAGGCTGATGGGAAAAGAAGCCTTGACTTCATAAGTAATCCAATAAAAAAAAGAGACACTATTTAGTTTTTCTCATCAAATTGGCAAAATTAAACTGCTTTTAGAAATCTATTTAGCACCCTCTGTGAGGGAGGCACACACTGGCTGGTGGGGACAGACGTTGGCTTTTCTGGGTGACCTAGTTTCTAAGTCTTCTAAGCAGGCTTGTCCCAGACCTGGAAATTCTAAACATTAACAAGCTTACCTGTTGTTCTGCCATGAAAATCAAGAAATTTATGACACTTTAATATTGATTCCATAATTTTTTGGGGGGAGATGGAGTTTTCGCTCTTGTTGCCCAGGCTGGAGTGCAGTGGCATGATCTCAGCTCACTGCAACCTCTACCTCCCAGGTCCAAGCGATTCTCCTGCCTCAGCCACCACGTCCAGCTAATTTTTTGTATTTTTAGTAGAGACTGGGTTTCACCATGTTGGGCAGGCTGGTCTTGAACTCCTGACCTCAGGTGATCTGCCCGCCTCGGCCTCCCAAAGTGCTGGGGTTACAGACATGAGCCACTGCACCCGGTTGATTTCATAATTTTTAAAGATAAAATGTCAGAAGCCTTCTCAGTTGGTCTTCTAAACTTATCTGTAAATTGGCAAGAAAAAAAAAAGTTTTGTTTGGTTCAGTACACCCCACCCTTTCCAGATCTGGCCAAAGTAATTACAAATGCTCCATATATAGGGTTTGTGGCTAATGTAATATCTATTTTCACTCTTTTGAAACTTTCATAGAATTTTTTTAAAAATTGAGAGCTACTCTGTGAGATGCAAGAATAAATGAGTCACTGAAAAGATCACCTTCTTTTAGTCGAAGGAGACGACAGCAAAAAAGAGTTAGCTAAACCCTGACAGACCGGTTCTTTAAGACGGTCCCTGTCATGAACTGGGCATGAGGGAGGTTGGGTGATATAGCGGAGGGACCCTGGGGTGGTAGCACCAGGTCTAATTCTGAACTCAGGGAGGCTTTTCTCAGCCTCCGTCTTTGCTGGAAACATTTGCTCTGTGCTGCAAAGAAAAATCAGCACTGAGACAAAGGGTCTTTCAGCAATGCAACTTTTACTTCCTGGACTGCAGGAGGGGTACCCTCAATAGCCATCTTGCCAGGAGAGTACAGTGAACAAAGGAAAGCAGACATATTTATCCCTTACACATTTGGGGTCGTCCTCACTGCTGTGTCTGATCTCCGTGGCTGGAGCCGGACCTCACAATCTAAACTAAAACCCGATTGGTCAATAACTTAAAACTTTTCTAAACAGGTAAAAGCCATGGAGAGCTGGGACCTGCCTGTGAGCACGTCCAGCACAGGCATCTTGGTTAAAGTACAAGGACGCAGAATGTACTACGTGCCTGTAAGCACGGCGTGTCTCACAGCTACAGGATAGGGCCTCACAAAGAGTTATTGGCACACTTATGATTTATTCTTTAACAAGCAAGGACACTTTAAAGAGGAACTTTTCTACTTCTCACAGTCTTCCATCCCAGGAAGTGGTAGACCGCACTCCTTGCAACTGAGTGTTCGAGCTGCCGTTATTTTGGGGACACCTGCTGGATCCGTTTGCTCAGGCCGCCATTAACAGAATATGATGGGCTGGTCTGGGCAGCCTCAGCAACAGCAATGTGCATCCTCAGAGTGCCGGAGGCTGGAAGTTCAAGATCAAGGTGCTGTAGGGCTGGCTCCTCCAGAGGCCTCAACCCTCAGCTTGCAGGCGCCTCTTCTCCCTGTGTCCTCACGGTCGCCCCTCTGTGTGTCTGTGTCCTCACCTCTTCTTATAAGGACGCCAGCCAGTCCTGTGGGATTAGGGTGCACCTTAATGCCTCATTTTACCTTAATGGCCTCTTTAACAGCCCTGTCTTCAGACACAGTCTCATTCTGAGGTGCGGAGTTCAGTGAGACCTCGATCACGTTGGGGTCTCCACCTGTGGAGGTCTGGGTCCTGCAGACTCTGACTCGATGATGGATGAATGAATGCACTCACACGCCCTGATCTGAGTGGACTAGGGATGGTTGTCAGCTGCTTTCAGAGGGCAAGTGCAGGCGACCAACTGTAAGTCCCTGTAACGCCTCACATTTACTCAGGATAGATTTACTAACAGAGGTTTCTAAGTCAACATGCTTGTGCATAATAAACACGGTTACAAGAGTCATCTTACAAATGACAAAAGCTTTAGGTACCAGGACCCAGAGTAAACACCATTCACGGGTGATTCCCCTTTGACCTCCCCCTGAGAGGACCGTCCAGCACAAAGTTTACATGAGCAAACAAATTAGAGCAGAGACAGAGGAATGCGGGGTAAACAGACTTCACTGGGGAAGCTTTCCTTGTCCCTAATCTTTTACCCTACGACTTAAAGTTCTAACGTCATGAACCAGCTGCCTTCAGCCCGTTCCATTCAAACCTTTCAGCCTTCCAAAAGGTTTGAGACAATAATCTTCTAACTTCCCCTGATATTTCCCTAATATTTTACCAGTCTCCCCGAGTGAACCCCGACACTTCAGCATAGTCATGGGGTGGGATGTGAGTCCCACCGTAACACTTGCCAAAGCTGTTCACAGCTGCAGCTGCTCGCGGAGTTAGGAGCACTCCCCTCTGTGGCCACACAAAGCGTTTCGTGGAGGTGCTGGCTCCCTGCCCACCACAGAGCTCAGGTGAGCATCTTCCTTGTCACTTTTAGCATTCTGAATATGCGCTCTTAGCACGCGGCCTCAACCCCTGCCAGGCAGCAGGCTGCCAGGGACACAGCACAGGTGTTCCAAACTCCTTACTATCCCTGTCTGCATCTGGCAGAACGCCTTTACCACGGAGCTCAATAAATATCTTTTTTAAAAAATAAAATACCTACAGCTTTTTAACAGAACAAATTGAATATCTTGCTTTGAAATCATGAAAGTAAGACGTGGCTTTGACCAGATTCCTCTAGCTCACCTGTGATGACTCACACACTGGACAGGCTGAGACAACAGGAGGGGTTGACCACGAGCCACGTGTATCCCAGTGTGGAAAAACACTATGAATACTTAATGAGTGGCCTGGAACTTACTTTTTGTCCTTTGTATGTACAACTTTTCCATTTTGTGAATATTTTTTCTGAACTAGAAAAAAAATTCGTTCTTTGTCAAAAGTATTTCCGAATTATCTACAACACATAGATGATATTACTGTGTATTCACATTAAGTAATGAACCTTTTTTTCTTTTTTCTATATTAGCCAAATAAGATGGCTCAAAATGGCAAGAGGAAACACTTATTTTGGAAGGATGTAAATGTTTACGTCTCTAAAAAATGCAAGGCTTTAAGAAGTCCCACATTTATAAGAAATTGCTGCGATCCGTTTATTCGTCGTGAGCCTAACGGTGTCATCATAATTTCCTGTGGGAAATATGTCCCACTTTGACATACCGGACCTGTGGAGGGGGAGCAAATGCAAGATCCCAGCTGTATTCTGGTGATAACAGCTTGGAGGGTTTATTTAGGTAAAAGTACTTGTTGAGGTGCTTTTCGTAGGTGCTATGGAGTCCATTTTTGATGTCATGGATAACTCCATTCAGATAATTTTCGATGAAATCTAAAATATTACGGGGCGTGCCACCAACCATCAAGCTGCCGTAATAGAAATCCCCCTGTCCAAACGGGACGCAAGCAGCTGAGGCCGGCCTCCTCTCGTAAGGGAAGTTCTTGGTGTTCGTGAAATACCACCAGGCGTGGAGCTGGGCCACCGACGGGCCCAGGGTCTCCACCCCGAACTCGCTCTGGAAGACCTGGTTGGCAGCCATGCTGAACAGAAAGTCCACCTCGTGCTGGATGTGACTGATGATGTGTTCACCCAGGCTCTTCATGGGCTCCAGGGGGCCGTCGGGCCACCCCATCCCGGTGCCCACTTTAAACACTTTGAACGTTCGAAGAGGACTGGGCTGTATGTGGGGCAGCGGGAAGGAGGCGTCCGCCATGACGTAGAAGATCACTCGGTAGCCTGTCATGAAGTGCTTATTTGCGGAGTGTAAGAATGGCCTCAGGTTCTCCTCTGCAAACCTAGGAAACACACAGACACCAGGGGAGACACTTACTTTTCTTTTCTTTCCTTCTTTCTTTGTTTTTGAGATGGAGTCTTGCTCTGATGCCCTGGCTGGACTGCAGTGGTGCAATCTCGGCTCACTGTAACCTCCACCTCCCGGGTGCAAGTGATTCTCCTGCCTCAGCCTCCTGAGTAGCTGGAATTACAGGCACCCCCCCCCACCACACCCCGCTAATACTTTTGTATTTTTACCAGAGACGGGGTTTTGCCATGTTGGCCAGACTGGTCTCGAACTCCTGACCTCAGGTGATCCACCCACCTCGGCTTCCCAGAGTGCTGGGATTACAGGTGTGAGCCACTGTGCGCAGCCGACACTTACTTTTCTAAACATGATCAGGAGAGACGGCTGAATGCGCTGTCTAACATGGGCGTTTCTGATGCTAAGGAACTCGGGACGTGTAAGGGTGCGGGAGCTGCACCCACAGCTTCAGCTGAGTCTGTGAGTGGGAAGGAATGTCCTGACCCGAAGGGCCTGAGAAAAGCCACCGTTTTGGAATGACTGCTGTGAAGAAAGGGAGCAAGAGCTAAATGGGTGTGAATCAAAAGATTCCCACTGGTGTCAAGGACTCAGCCATCAACAGGGAAGCCCAGCACACCTTTGCACAGGACAGCCTGAAATGGAAGGAAATTAGGTATACAGCGGTCCATTTCCAAGACAAAGGGCCTTAAATCGGCTTAGTTCAGCAAATGACAAAAGCAGCAGGATATACTAGGCCCCCGATTCAATAGCCAAGGCCGCTTGTTGGCCTTCCCCCTCCCCCGTCCACCTTAGTTGTCTTCATCTGAAAAGTTTAGCCTAAGATGAAAGTTTACTAGCCTGCAACGCAGCTCGCTTTGCCTGTTCTCATCGGCCTGCCCAGCCACTGCGGTCATAAGTCAAACACCTGAAGGGCCCCCGAGCTGACTGGGATTGCAGCACATCGTGGGCCGTGACAAAACGCAGCAGGACAACCCAAAAACAACACCTGGAGCCCCCGCCCAACACCCAACAGGCGGCGTCCGGGAAGACTGTGACCCCGTAATACCCAGCCTGTGAGGCACCGGGGAGGGACCCCCGCACGACGGGATAAACTGCTTCTTGAACCTGTGCTGGGCGTGCCTGCCCGACAGACACGCGATCTTCCAAGACCGACGTTAAAATCTCCCTTTCGCTGTTCTCTGGGTCTCTGAGTCCATTCTTTGAGTTTGGACAGGTAAGTTTTTCTCACAAAAATCATGGCTATTGTTATCGTTAATTATGCTTAATTATCTCTGGAGGTCAAAAGTCCATGAATGCGGATCCACCTTTTCCCAAAATAAAAAAGGCCACAGGTGAGTGGCACCTACCTGCCAGTAGCAAACACGGCCAGGCCCACGGTGATATTCCGCCGTCTGTAATGTTTTTCCAGAACCCGCCTGTCAAAAGTCCCCTCCCAAAGGACGGGAGCGAGCCAGTCCGTTTTCGTGATGACATCGGGGCGTTTTCTGTGGAACAAGGGCCAGGTTAAACAAGGACTGCTTTACTCACGCAGCAGCAGCAGGTGCGAGCATAATGGCTAACGCTCAGAGAGCCCGGACGGTGCACCCGGTGCCATGTTTGAGGGTGCTATCCCATTTATCCTTGCAACACCCTATGCAGTGAGCACCACCACCCCGGGTCCCCACCACCCCGGGTCCCCACCACCCCTGATCCTTACCACCCCGGGTCCCCGCCACCC